CTATGGACCCAAATGCAGAAGGAAAAACTTTGACCTCTCTTACATTAGAAGGCTGGTGAATAAATGCACATTTATATGTTTTACTTTAGAGGAATTTTTAATGTAGTTTTTTTTTTTTGCTTTCCTGCTCTAATTGATGGTTATTTTTAATGGATGAAAGACTCATCTCTGTTGTACTTGATCCAAGGACTTCTACTGGGCTTCCTTTGCCTTTTTCTGCAGAGTCTAGCTTGCATGGTACATACTCAAGGTGAAGGTTGCTGATTAATATTAACAGGGAGAATAAACAAATTTCTCAGGAATAGAATAAAGTCTGGTTAGTTAAAATCTCTGCAATAAATAGGGATAGAAATGGAAATATGAGTTTCTATCTTTTGGAAAGGAAAGAAAAACACTAGTAAGTTGGTTTTCTGGGTAGATTCAGACAGGTGATGCAGAAAACTGATGGCAAGACTCATGGTTTATGATTCAGTACATTCATTTGATTTGTGTGGTAATTGACTGAATTTTCAGGAGAGGAAAATAAAGCAACTTAGGAAATAAATGAATGTGGATATAGGTTGGAAGGGGAAAGAATACAGGAAGGGAGGTAAGCAAACAGGCTATTGCATATGTCTTGAGTTATTACTGTGATATGGAAATAAAATATATTCCAGACAGTACTAATGAGGAGTAATTGCAGTGAATTGATTCTCTAGCTGTCACTGCAAAGTAAGCTCCATCAAAGCTAGAATCTTCTCACATTTATCTTTGCATCTTAAGAGTTTATCCCAGAGTTGGCACACAGTAATTAATAAATAAGTGTCTGTTGAATGAATTAATGACAGAAAAGCCCTGAAATGTTATGAGACATAAAATATCCTTGAATGTCTGAATCTTAAACTCAACACATGGAAAGGATGACAGCACATAAGAAAGGTGATTGTGTAGTGTGTTACCCCAGTAAGAACTTTGAAGCAGGCTTCCAGGTTTGTTAGATTAATTCTAGGACATAGGGTAGCCACAGCCATCTCTCCTGGAGGCTGGCATGTTTCTGCAGAGCCAAGGCTAGTTATCAAGGGCTCTTTCCTGACTGCAAATGGCCCAAGAAATGCTGGATCAATGTGAGACCACATTGATAAGCCTCTAGAGGTGGAAAAGAACAGCTCAAACCAAGTTGAATGCTCTTCTATCTGGGTCTAAGCTTTATGTCATGTCCCAGAGAATGTGGTGGGATACAATCCCTGGGCTTCATCCCAAATTTCTTGTGGCTGAGTAATTAGTGTGTATTGCTCATTTTTACTTACTGAAAAGAGTTTTCTATGATTGAAGGGCAGATCTTTTGAAAATGCTAACATTTGGACCTTTATCTTTGGAGAGTGGATGTAAAAAGACACTCTGAAAAGTCAGAGACCCGTTACACTTTAATATTATTTCAATGGGTCAAATGGTAGACAACATTTAAAAGTGTGGGTTATCTCTTTTGCGCTACACTGTGCAGTCTGTTTTGGGTTCATCATTGTTTCCAGGTGCAATTACAAAATGAGTACCTGGAACAAGGCCTGGAATAAATTAGATGCTCAATAAAACCTTGTTGAACGACTGACTGAATGTTTCTTTCTCCTCCCTAGCAGCTGGCTAACCTAGCAACATTTCAAAGACAGCTGGATAATTCAGGGCCATTCAGGAGTTCAGATTCATACTGAATGAGATTGAAGACTGGGCAGACAGATCATTTCTCTAGAGAGCTCTTTTCCTCAACTGCCTGCTGAAAATTACACTTGTGTTGGCTTTTATGTTATGGCATGAAATCTACTCATCTAATTAGGGGTTAGAAAAAGAAAGGAGATTTACAGAAAAAGAAAATTGAGGAGCACTCTTAACCAAATACTGTATGACCAAAAACGAAGCCCTCAATGTACAGCAGAATTTTCTAGAAATAGTTTATTTAGTGATGGAACCTTGTCATAAACTGTGGTAAAATGATTCTTTGATTAAAGAGTAGACAGCGAGCAATGATGCCTGATAATGACCATAGATAGAGATAGTTTGAATTGGAGCTTGTAAGTTCTACACTTAAAATAATTTCTATAGTACAGTGTGAAAGAGCCTTGCAATCTCTTAGTTATCCATATGTATTTCCTGGATCTCGTGTGCTAGCTAATGTATATCTTCCAGTGCTTTGCCCTGTAAAATTAATCCTAATTTATGGAATATGTCCCAGATTGCAGATGTTTGATTTTTCTTTTATTTTTAATACCATTTCACAGGCTTTGATGTGTATGGTTCTTTTGATTCCTTTCACATGGAGAAAATTCTCCTTGCTTCGATGCAAATTCTAACCATGCCTGTTTAAGTTTGTCTTCCTCATGTTACAAATACTAATAGGGAGGGACAGGAACCCCAAGGTCAGGACACAACAGCAAGAAGAATGAAGGGATATGTCTGAAATGGGACCCTGTAAGAAAGAGCTGTTGCCAAAGAATCTGTCATTCCAACCAAACAACCTGGGGCAATTTAGTCTTGAACTTCCAGCGCTGTTGCCATGGTTTCTAGACAAAGGCGACAGGGCTGTATTCCAATTATATCCTTCAGAATAACAGATAACTGAAAAATAGGAAATGGGGTAATAAAATTTCAGGTCACCCAGAAGAAGTGTGATAGATACAAGTGACACAGAATGAGAGACGCAAGTCTATGTTTGTTTAAGAAATGCTTTTGTGATTTAGAATGCAAATGTATATTGTGCAAGTCCTCTAGGCTTCCCATAGCAATTTTATCCATCATTCAGCTCGATATTCAAAGCCGAGTATCTCTCGCCTAATGTTCCTGATAACATTTTAAACTTAAAGAATCTGTGAATTAACAGTATTTAAGAAAAAAAAATCTTTAACAGTGAAAAGTAGAAAAGCATCCCTTGAATTCTGAAGATATTGCAGATACAACAATACTATTTTTTCCCTTAATGCTGGGGTCAAACGTAATAATCTCTTTTTTCTAGTTGAAGGTATTCTTGCAAACTGTGCACCTAGCTTTGAGCCATGTCTGATAATCAGTATTATTTTTCCAGGGTCAGCAGTAAGTTTACTGTCATCCTATTGGCTGAAGATACTTGCCTTTTCAATGAGAGGAAACTTTATGTAGAGATTAATGGGTTCACAATGAACTCTAGAGTGGTACTGGTAGGACTGGTTCTGTATTCTTTGCAGTGAAGCAGAAATGGAGCATTTTAATCCCAAAGCAGCACTAGGTAATTTATATAATCTTTAAAGTATTTAAGTATTTAAAAAATACTTTTTAATGTAAAGTCTTTAAAATGTTCAGTCTCAGTTTCTTCATTTGTAAAATGGAATAACACCTACCTCTTGGAGTCGTGTCTTTAAATTAGATGATGTATACCAAACATTTAGCTCAGCATCTGGCACATGCCAGTAAGTAAATGTAGTTTTGTCATCGTTATTACTATTAAACTACCTTCTGTCATATACACTGTGATTAGTAATGAAGCTATTACTATAACAGAGAAACAAACAAAATTGGTAAATTTAAGGATTTAAAACTCCATATCTACAAAAAGGTTTTTTTTTTTTTTTTTTACAAAAAGGTTTTTAAAGCGTGTTTTAGATGTGAGATTAGATGTGTTTGAATGATGGTGAAAAAAGGCACAAATTTACCAAATGGTATCTCAAGCACTACTGCCCGAAGACTGAGACAGAAACCTCTAGATGTCCTGAAACCTACAATCATGCCTCCTCAGTTTCTCCTTAAGGATATTTATTTTTTTGACACTGTGAGGACAACATAACACTTTTGTTAACATATTGAATATAGCTGTTACAGTTTTATAAAGATCAGTTTTATCATTTTCTTTCTCTGCATAAATTCAAAGACTTTAGTTGGATTCTTAAACTGAAATTTACTGTACTCAGGATTATTTTTTCCTCATCAAGAATTGGTTTGGTTTTATAAATAGAAGTAATTAGGAAAAATGATTTATTTAGTAAGAGATTGTTTTTTAGTATGATAAATCTTGCAAAATCAATCTATCTTCTGTATAAATAATGACAATGATAAAAAAAAGAAAACGAATTTCTTTTCCTTTATGAACTTGCTTTTTCAAAAAAAAACATCTTGGAGGTTCAGAATACAACCTTTCACACAGTTTATTTTGCTTTGCTTGGCTGGTTTTCATATGTTATAGTGAATTCCTTTCATTCATAAACCCTGAAACTTGAATTCTATCATATGTCTGTACATATATATAATAAAATATATAATTTTACTGAGTATTTATGGTCAAAGTAAGTAGAGACCTGGGCAATTTCAGATAAAAATGTGTAAAAACAATCATATATTATGGAATTATATGAAGAAGAGCCTTATTTTGTTATTCATATTTTAAATTACTCTTCTGTTACTGAAATTTTGGAACAACTGATTATGATTAAAATATGAACCATTATTTCTAAAATAAATACAAAGGGCACAAACTCCAGTAACCCAATTACTTTTGTCTTAATTCATTTTATCTGTGTGGTTTATTTTTTATTTTTTTAAAGACACAGAAAGAAAGAGAGAGGCAGAGACACAGGCAGAGGGAGAAGCAGGCTCCATGCAGGGAACCCAATGTGGGACTTGATCCCAGGTCTCTAGGATCATGGCCTGGGCCAAAGGCAGGTGCTGAACCACTGATCCACCCAGGGATCTCCCTACCTATGTGGTTTAAATGCTATAAAAGGAATGTTTTGTCGGTGGAGCAGCAGGTCTGTTGGCACACCAAGTTTTCTGCCTGCAAATGGGATTTTGAATTATATCTTTTATGCATTTCTTTGATGGCATTCCTATATCCCACTGAATGCATCAGAAGGAAGCACCTTCTCTCATCCAAAAGCTGACTTGGAAAGATGACATAGCTATTTTTGTTGTCATGCTGTAACATAGGTCACAAAACAGAATGACGACACTCTATGGGAATCATCAAGTTTATATAGACAGAGTTTAAGAGGATCTTGGTAACTTACCTTAAAAGAGATTTCGTATTGTTCTCCTCCCCAGATTTCTAAACCTGGATCATAGCCACCCAATTCCCAAAACCATTTTCGATTCACAGCAAAGAGACCTCCAGCCATAACAGGAGACCTGTGAAATGGATAAAATAATTTTTAGACTAAGAACATTTGTTTAGAAAAAAATAAAAGTGAACTTCAAGATATGCATGACTCTTCAGTACTTGTTTTTTTATAAGTGGATATATGGTTCTCATTTGGTCTCTAATTGCTCTTTGAATCATCATGAGCTTTAAACTTTGTGCTTCAAGTTCTAATGCAATTAATGTCCTGTAGAGCCACATTTACTCCATATATTTATCATTAGAGAGAAATACATGACTGTTAGTGACTGATATACTGAGAGGTATCATTCAATTTTATGACTTTTCCTTAAGTGAGAGGAATCTTGCACTATCAGACAGATAAAAACATAGAAAACACTCTTATAGACAAATTTTTGATTTAATCTCTTAGTACATATTCACCAAGAATTTCCTGCTGTAAAATGGTCACGTCCGTTTTGCAGACTATGAGATGATCAGTAGAGTAAAATTGAGAATTGGTTATTTAATTAAGATGCCAAAGATGGAATTTAAACTAGGCCTTTTTTTTTATAAATTAATTTTTATTGGTGTTCAATTTACCAACATACAGAATAACACCCAGTGCTCATCCCGTCAAGTGTCCCCCTCCGTGCCCGTCACCCATTCACCCCCACCCCCCGCCCTCCTCCCCTTCCACCACCCCTCGTTCGTTTCCCAGAGTTAGAAGTCTTTATGTTCTGTGTCCCTTTCTGATATCTCCCACACATTTCTTCTCCCTTCCCTTATATTCCCCTTCACTATTATTCATATTCCCCAAATGAGTGAGAACATACACTGTTTGTCCTTCTCCGATTGACTTACTTCACTCAGCATAATACCCTCCAGTTCCATCCACGTTGAAGCAAATGGTGGGTATTTGTTGTTTCTAATGGCTGAGTAATATTCCATTGTATACATAAACCACATCTTCTTTATCCATTCATCTTTCGATGGGCACCGAGGCTCCTTCCACAGTTTGGCTATTGTGGACATGGCTGCTAGAAACATCGGGGTGCAGGTGCCCCGGCGTTTCATTGCATCTGAATCTTCGGGGTAAATCCCTAACAGTGCAATTGCTGGGTCGTAGGGCAGGTCTATTTTTAATTCTTTGAGGAACCTCCACACAGTTTTCCAGAGTGGCTGCACCAGTTCACATTCCCACCAACAGTGTAAGAGGGTTCCCTTTTCTCCACATCCTCTCCAACATTTGTTGTTTCCTGCCTTATTAATTTTCCCCATTCTCACTGGTGTGAGGTGGTATCTCATTGTGGTTTTGATTTGTATTTCCCTGATGGCAAGTGATGCAGAGCATTTTCTCATGTGCATGTTGGCCATGTCTATGTCTTCCTCTGTGAGATTTCTCTTCATGTCTTTTGCCCATTTCATGATTGGATTGTTTGTTTCTTTGGTGTTGAGTTTAATAAGTTCTTTATAGATTTTGGAAACTAGCCCTTTATCTGATATGTTATTTGCAAATATCTTCTCCCATTCTGTAGGTTGTCTTTGAGTTTTGTTGACTGTATCCTTTGCTGTGCAAAAGCTTCTTATCTTGATGAAGTCCCAATAGTTCATTTTTGCTTTTGTTTCTTTTGCCTTCGTGGATGTATCTTGCAAGAAGTTACTGTGGCCAAGTTCAAAAAGGGTGTTGCCTGTGTTCTCCTCTAGGATTTTGATGGAGTCTTGTCTCACATTTAAATCTTTCATCCATTTTGAGTTTATCTTTGTGTATGGTGCAAGAGAGTGGTCTAGTTTCATTCTTCTGCATGTGGATGACCAATTTTCCCAGCACCATTTATTGAAGAGACTGTCTTTCTTACAGTGGATCGTCTTTCCTCCTTTGTCGAATATTAGTTGACCATAAAGTTCAGGGTCCATTTCTGGATTCTCTATTCTGTTCCATTGGTCTATGTGTCTGTTTTTGTGCCAGTACCACACTGTCTTGATGACCACAGCTTTGTAGTACAACCTGAAATCTGGCATTGTGATGCCCCCAGATATGGTTTTCTTTTTTAAAATTCCCCTGGCTATTCGGGGTCTTTTCTGATTCCACACAAATCTTAAAATAATTTGTTCTAAGTCTCTGAAAAAAGTCCATGGTATTTTGATAGGGATTGCATTGAACGTGTAAATTGCCCTGGGTAGCATTGACATTTTCACAATATTAATTCTGCCAATCCATGAGCATGGAATATTTTTCCATCTCTTTGTGTCTTCCTCAATTTCTTTCAGAAGTGTTCTATAGTTTTTAGGGTATAGATCCTTTACCTCTTTGGTTAGGTTTATTCCTAGGTATCTTATGCTTTTGGGTGCAATTGTAAATGGGATTGACTCCTTAATTTCTCTTTCTTCAGTCTCATTGTTAGTGTATAGGAATGCCATTGATTTCTGGGCATTGATTTTGTATCCTGCCACGCTACCAAATTGCTGTATGAGTTCTAGCAATCTTGGGGTGGAGGCTTTTGGGTTTTCTATGTAGAGTATCATGTCATCGGCGAAGAGGGAGAGTTTGACTTCTTCTTTGCCAATTTGAATGCCTTTAATGTCTTTTTGTTGTCTGATTGCTGAGGCTAGGACTTCCAATACTATGTTGAATAGCAGTGGTGAGAGTGGACATCCCTGTCTGGTTCCTGATCTTAGGGGAAAGGCTCCCAGTGCTTCCCCATTGAGAATGATATTTGCTGTGGGCTTTTCGTAGATGGCTTTTAAGATTAAACTAGGCCTTTTTATCTATACCCTAAAAACTATAGAACACTTCTGAAAGAAATTGAGGAAGACACAAAGAGATGGAAAATATTCCATGCTCATGGATTAGAAGAATTAATATTGTGAAAATGTCAATATTACCCAGGGCAATTTGCACGTTTAATGCAATCCCTATCAAAATACCATGGACTTTCTTCAGAGAGTAGGAACAAATTATTTTAAGATTTGTGTGGAATCAGAAAAGACCCCGAATAGCCAGGGGAATTTTAAAAAAGAAAACCATATGTGGGGGCATCACAATGCCAGATTTCAGGTTGTACTACAAAAGCTGTGGTCATCAAGACAGTGTGGTACTGGCACAAAAACAGACATATAGACCAATGGAACAGAATAGAGAACCCAGAAGTGGACCCTGAACTTTATGGTCAACTAATATTCAATAAAGGAGGAAAGACTATCCACTGTAAGAAAGACAGTCTCTTCAATAGATGGTGCTGGGAAAATTGGACATCCACATGCAGAAGAATGAAACTAGACCACTCTCTTTCACCATACACAAAGATAAACTCAAAATGGATGAAAGATCTAAATGTGAGACAGGAGTCCATCAAAATCCTAGAGGAGAACACAGTCAACACCCTTTTTGAACTTGGCCACAGTAACTTCTTGCAAGATTCATCCGCGAATGCAAAAGAAACAAAAGCAAAAATGAACTATTGGGACTTCATCAAGATAAGAAGCTTTTGCACGGCAAAGAATACAGTCAACAAAACTAAAAGACAACCTACAGAATGGGAGAAGATATTTGCAAATGACATATCAGAGAAAGGGCTAGTATCCGAGATCTATAAAGAACTTATTAAACTCAACAGCAAAGAAACAAACAATCCAATCATGAAATGGGCAAAAGACATGAACAGAAATCTTACAGAGGGAGACACAGACATGGCCAACAAGCACTTGAGAAAATGCTCCGCATCACTTGCCATCAGGGAAATACAAATCAAAACCACAATGAGATCCCACCTCACACCAGTGAGAACAGGGAAAATTAACAAGGCAGGAAACAACACATGTTGGAGAGGATGCAGAGAAAAGGGAACCCTCTTACACTGTTGGTGGGAATGTGAACTGGTGCAGCCACTCTGGAAAACTGTGTGGAGGTTCCTCAAAGAGTTAAAAATAGACCTGCCCTACGACCCAGCAATTGCACTGCTGGGGATTTACCCCAAAGATACAGATGCAATGAAACGCCGGGACACCTGCACCCCGATGTTTCTAGCAGCAATGTCCACAATAGCCAAACTGTGGAAGGAGCCTCGGTGTCCATCGAAAGATGAATGGATAAAGAAGATGTGGTTTATGTATACAATGGAATATTACTCAGCCATTAGAAACGACAAATACCCACCATTTGCTTCAACGTGGATGGAACTGGAGGGTATTATGCTGAGTGAAGTAAGTCAATCGGAGAAGGACAGTGTATGTTCTCATTCATTTGGGGAATATGAATAATAGTGAAAGGGAATAAAGGGGAAAGGATAAAAAATAAGTGGAAAATATCAGAAAGGGAGACAGAACATGAAGACTCCTAACTCTGGGAAACGAACGAGGGGTGGTGGAAGGGGAGGAGGTCGGGGGGTGGGGGTGACTGGGTGGCGGGCACTGAGGGGGGCACTTGACGGGATGAGCACTGGGTGTTATTCTGTATGTTGGCAAATTGAACACTAATAAAAAATAAATTTATTATTAAAAAAATAAAGGAGTTCATGACCACTAAAAAAATAAAAATAAAAAATAAACTAGGCCTTTTTACTAATTATTTTATTATTTTTAGGCTTTCTCTGCTTTTCCAAGAACTATTCCTTTTGATCAAACAATAATTCTCAAGTATTTCCTTCCTATTAGGACACAGTATAGTCCCCTGCTATGTAATGAGATAATTTATAATCATTGGGCCCTGTCCTAAAATTTTTGAAGTTTAAAGGTAGCTCTATGGCGATCCCTGGGTGGCTCAGCGGTTTAGTGCCTGCCTTTGGCTTAGGGCCTGATCCTGGGGTCCCGGGATTGAGTCCCACATCAGGCTCCCTGCATGGAGTCTGCTTGTCCCTCTGCCTGTGTCTCTGCCTCTTTCTCTCTGTGTCTCTCATGAATAAATAAATAAAATCTTTAACAATAAAAAAAAGGTATCTCTAGTTTATGCTGGGTTCTTGGATAAAAGTTTTACCCAATTCCTTTGATTTATCCTCACTACAATCCTGTGAATATCATTCTTATATACTGTTTGAAAAAGCAGGTAGAGAGA